AAGATTTCAACTGGGGAAGAAAGGGGAAGATCAACTAAGAGGATGGTGTTTCGCCATCTGGTGAGGTCCCTGATCTCCTCAGAGTGTGTATGTGGGTGCATGTATAAAAGCTCCTCCAGTAATGACAATGAGACAAAATACAAGGAATTATTTTTTTTTTTTTGAGATTTTAATGCAAGAGGAGAATATATTTGGACTTGGGCTGCCAGAGGTTTATTCTACAAGAAGGATGGGTCATCTCCAGGTGGCCGGGGACACTCCTGCCCCCGGGAGCAGCGCGGGCTGCAGCAGCTGGGCAGGACAGGCTTCCGCAGCCCCTGCTCCACCTGAGGTTTGCTCTGTAAGGCTCAAACCCAGCGTTTCAAGGCACAGCCATGGCATGAGGCAGAGTGACTAAAGTATCTTCCTCCAGGACTGCTCAGGGTCATGGGACCGTTGCTCATTTAGGAAAAGCTGCATTCATAAGTGTGAAGCAATCTGAAGGCACCAGCTGAGCAGCAGATGGATTAATAACATGGCTATGACACCAGTACTTACTCTCTCACTTCCTTTCTGTTTTAGAAATGAGTGATAGCCCTTTTAGGGATTATAAAGATCATACATGGATGTGAATTTCTTATTAAACTAGAACAGCAGCAGAGCCAAGCCCAGACCCAGTCTATTTACACAGACCCGAACCTGAGAGCACAGGAGTTTGTGTCCAGTGAGTCACGAGGGATCACAGCTGCAAAACTCCATCTGAAAGCCTAATGTTCAGACACTTAGAAGAGCAGAAAACTTCAGCTTCTGGGATACTTAAATATATTTCTGAGGTTCCCATGTTATCCTCACAATAAGGGCTCCATCCCTATTGGAGTCCTATAATATGGGAAGAGAAACATCAGATTACGTGTTGAGAATTTCCAGGCAATTTTAATGCCAAATGTGCTACGATGGTTGATAACGTACTTCAGAAGCACAGCAGTGGACAGGATTGTTTGCTGCTTCAAGAGATTAACTTGCACGAAGGCTGGAGCTGCTTCGGGTAGTTGTGCACTTGGCATTAAGCCACGCAAGTGGATGCAATAGCTCTCAGCTGCGTCAAGGAATCACCTACAAACCCAGTATTTCTAGTTCAGCCTGGTGTGGCTAAATTAGCAGGAGAACTGTTTCCAGTAGTCAGGCATCCCAGTCAATTTCTTGTTTCCTGTACTGGAGAAAGATTAAGAAGCTGTTTTCATACATATTACAAATAAGAATTGCTTAGGTAGGAGCATCCAGACAGAATTCCTAAATTTTCAGCAGCCTGACAGTGTGCATCTTGGATCGTTGCAAATTTGCATTGGGAAGATTCTAAAGAGGCTCGGTGCCAGTTAAAAAAACAGCAAAAGTAACTATGTTCATCTAAATGAAATTATTTTAGTTATTTCTGGTTTAGAAGTCAGATCTGTTAGTGAATCCTTGGCTTGCTTGCTCAACATCCACTCACAGACAAGAGGTTTTAGGCAAGTGAAGAGTCCTGGTGATGAAACAGGACGGAGCTGTCACAGGGTTTAGGAACTGATTTCTCCACTTCAGTCAGCTCAAGGAAACAAGCGGTCAGGTGTCTCCTAAGGAAAACCTGTTTACTCTAGATTGGGAAACTTTGTTTAAACACTAAATCAAGCCCAAGAACTTCAGCAAATATATCAGAGGATTAGTTGTTTCTTTTCTGGAAAGGATCCTGTTTTCTATCCCTTGGTGAAACGTGGCAATTCTCATCTGAATGACAGTGGAACATCCAAGGGCTACATTCTGCAGAAAAAGGAACTTGTGCTTTTACTCTTTAAGTTCCAGTTGTGTTCCAGATGAAGCAGCACAGGCCACATGCCTGTGTTGAGTTTTACAACGGATCTGCTTTCCCACAGCAATGTTTTTTTTTTTTCCACATCAGTTTGTCTCCCCCGTCGCTCAAACATTGCCTTGTGCAAGAGCTGGGCACCTCAATGACTGTGCCAGAAGAACAAAACCAATCCAGTTGGAGGGGAAAACCCAATCCCACAAGGATCAGCCATTATGCCCCCAAGAAGTCAAACACAATTACTTTCCAGACCCGAGATAAAATAACAGGCTTTTCTGTTATGAAAGAAAATAGAAAACATTCAGATTTCTATAAGTGCTTTACAGAGTCTCAGCTGTGTATTGCAAGCATAATTTCCTTTATTTCCAGCACTCCAGGAATAGCAACCTATTCTTATTGTCACGGTTCAACACTCCCCCAGAGAGAAGGAATACACATTTAGCTTTAAGTGTGGAAACCTTCCCCAGTGAAACCCAGAACCTTACGCTCACTCCAAATCCATGAAATTATTCATGCGGGTTTTCGAGATCAAGTCCAAAGCACACAGTTAACAGTGGGTAACACCCTTCGCTCACCCCCTGGGCTGTTCATAGGTCGATGGCAGCTGCTCTGATAACCAGCCTGACCTCCGGAGCGCGGCAGCACGGCGCCGTGCACGTGCCCTTCCAGCTTCCCCAGCCCACGGGGCGCAGCCAGAGCTCCCCAGACTCGGGCTCGGTCTCTCAGAGTCGGGGTCCAGGCACTTACTGTTGGGTGGACCAGCTGCTCCTTGTGCTTACTGAGCCGCCGCCTTATTCTCGCAAGCAATCTCCACAATGTCTCAACATTACTGCAGGCTCTACATTTTTTTTTTTTTTTTTTTTTTTTTGTTTTTTTTCCTTTTTTTAATCCTTTGGATGCTTTTTCACAGTTCCTGGCCTCTATGAAGTGGAAGATTCCTAAGTCAGTGGTGTGGTTTCCTGATAATTTTACACTTCTTTTCAGCACATTATATAGTTATGAGGGTCTGGAGACAAATGTATTCTCAGCCATTACTTTCCAGCTTCCAAGAGGGAAACCCAAAGGATCCTCACATAATGGATGCCCCCAAATTAACTGCCTGAAATAAACCTCCCACTCCACCAGGCTGTGCTCGTCCTTGCTTTCTGAAAACCTCCCTATCTTGAGGCAACCGTGCAGAACTATTGGCAGGAGTTTCTTTTTATGCAGCAGTATTTAATCTCCCTGCAAGGACTGCAAGAGAATCAGCACATGAACTTCATTGTCCTCAGCTTCACCCCGACTGCCCCAGCTGTGCCAGGAGGAATACTCGGTGCCTCTTACCAAGGCAGAGCTGTCTCTGGCCAGCACTGCCCCCCCCCGCCCCTCCTGCCTCTGCTGTTCAGTGCTTCAGCGTTTGTAGGGCTTTAGACTGCAGAGTTAAGTAACTTCGCAGCCACTTGATCCATTATTAAACGAGAACAGAGCTGAATGGATCAAACACTGTCTTTGGAAAAACAAGGAACGCCTCTTCATCGGTTATACAAGCTTCCCCTATAAAAAAATTTCTGGTGACAAGTGCTTTACTGCTTTTTCCTGCAGTCTGACGAGCTCGCCACACTTTACCTTAGGGAGATTTACAAACAGTCCGTTTCTATTCTCTTACTGCATAATCTAATTAAGCAGTCTTAACAGCTACGCAGGGCCAAAGGGCAATATGCCTTTGGAGTGGTGGTGAGGGAGTTTTGCCACAGATTCACTGTGATTCAAGAAAGAGAGTGTGATACAAGATTTAAAAGATTATCTACATTTCTAGATGTCTGCTAACGTCCTGGTCCTTTCATTCTCCATAGTGTAGTGCCTCTCTACTTCTCCCTGAACTAGCTACTGCTTCCTGGCAGAGGTTACACCTGCAGGGCACTCCAACTTAACTCAGTAACAGGCAGAAATCTATTTTTAGTCAGAAATTAGAGGAAAGCAAATGTAGAAATACAAAGTTCCTGGACAGCCACGATTGAGGTCAAGTGTCCAACCGTATCCAGCGACTCAGTGGGCAACACAGTCACTATTTCCTCCTCGATCATGTGTCATCAGGAAGCTTTCACAGTGCACCGTAAAGATGACTGCCCAAACGATTTAGAGGAGACTTGCGTAAGCAGCTTTATTCTGGTTTTAAAAAGGAAAAAGCCAAGGGTTTTCCAAATCCATTCAAATGCATCTGAAATTGGAAAGATGGACGTTGTCTGAAACTCATCCACGTAGGTGTAAGAGAGATACTCCGGCCGAGGGAACAAGTGCCTTGGGAAGACACGGTGACTAACAGCAGATGTATCTACCTGGGCCCCTCATTCAGTCTGTCTTCTACCACAAGATTATTGTCATAGAGTCGGCTTGAAAATGCAACTGATGGAAAGAGAGTTTACGTGGAATTTTTTGGGGAAAAAAGCAGAAATATTACATGTCACCTTCCCTCCCACTTCTCTGCTCCCTGCACATATTTGGATCAATCTAAAAATCTTTCCATGTTTCAACGGAGCTGATTTCCCAGTAAGATAAAGCCTCCATCTTCCCTGCCGCCTGGCCTGGCTCCCTCACTCCGTGGCAGCACACGCAGACACAACTCTCGCCATGAAGAGGATTCGGTAAGATTCCTTAATGTCACCTTTGAAGGTCAGGAGGGCTGTCACAAGCACAGGGTCCTTGGCCTACAAAAAAAATATTGCACATATCAACCCAACCTGTTCTTTTGTACCTAGAACAGAGAAGTCGATCAAGTTCTAAACGATGCATTTTACACCTCGGTTGTAAGATGCCCCAGTTGTAGCTATAGATTACCTCCCTTCCCACTGTGTTGGCTCTTTTACATCTCCACGCAACGCTCACACTGCAGTAAGGAAAGGAGCCGGTGACTAAGCATTCCATCTCCAGAGCACTGCCGATACTGTCACCACGTTACAGCCCTGACAACTGGGCACGGCAGCGGCAGGGCGCTGCGGGGAGCTGGCAAAGCCACGGCCCCAGTCAGCCACCAGTTAGCCTGCAATCTTGTGTAACCACCGGTGGTTACCGAGAGGCACAATGTCAACCCGATGCATCATGCCAGGAACTCTACTGCTGTCTTTCTGCACATGATTCTCTTAATTTTGGAACAAGCTACTCATCCTGCCATCCCACGCACGGCTCACAACAAAAAGCAGGGGAGTAAATTCTTTCAGTCCCTGTGAAATCCCAGGAGGATGAATCAGGGAGGGATAGCACGGCCCTGCGGAGATGTCTGGGCCTCAGACCTAGACTGCAATACAGAAGGGCAGAAGCAGCCAGGGAAAGAGGGTTCATCGAGCAGAAAAACAAGAAGGCCCTCCTGACTTCCAGGAATATACTGAAGGAAATGACACTGTAGCAGAACGATCCGTGTAAACCTAGTGCTGTGTCAGCAGGACCGCAGGTTTTCTTGCGCAGGGACACTAAAAGCTCACCTCATCTGTTAGTTAAGAGCAGCAGCATTTTGGCCTTTTGGCGCTGTCTAACGCCGCGACCTGGGAGCGGTTACTCAGAGTTCTGTCAGGTTCAAGTGTCCAATGCTGCTTCTTTTCCCCACGCGGCGGCGCGGAAGGCCCCTGCGAGGGACCAGCCCTCCACGGCACACGGGTTCTTCCTGGCTTTTTCTCTCCTCCCCGTAACCCCGCGTGTTCCTCACCCCGCGTGTCCCGGCCCTGGCTGCCGACGCCTTCCAGAGCAGCTACAAACGGGTGAACCCGCCCAGAGCATCGCAGCGACTGCAACTTACATCCGAGTCAGGAGGTGGCACCCACGAAACACCGATGCGCTTGGCCTGACCGCGCTCCAGCGTCCCCTTGGCGGGCCGGAGGGTGAAGCCCTTCTGCTGCAGCAGCGCCAGGCTGCCCACGCTGAACTCCGGGTCCTGCGGGAGACACGCACACACCCCGCCCTCACCACAGCCCCCCCGCTCCGGCAAACACAATGCCTCCCCAGTTTTGCCCAGGTGCCTGTATCTGGGCCAAAGCGCTTCAGCCCTTGGGCGCTGCAGGTATCCACGCCGTCACGGGGCCAGGCTGCCACAAAACACTACCCTGAAATAAGAGCACCAGCCCTGGCACCCAGGTCTGCGCTCAGACTTCTGTATTTCAGAATTAGGGAAGCAAACAGCTGAATTAATTTTCGTTGCTGACTTAATACGATAATACTAATTCCTCATACTAAGCCTCTGAACAACAGTATTTCCAAACACTGACACTTTTCTAATGTAAAGCTTATCAGAAACCCTGAAAGCTGTGTTAATTTATATAATGAGTTTGCCAAAGAACTAGTAGCTGTTTGTGCACTGTCAGTATTCCTTACACCACCTGCTATAAAACTGCACATTTTATTCTCTTCACCTTCTTCAATGGGAACCGAGCTGAGTGTATAGCTCCAACTTCCAGTTCTGTCACGGCCGGTGCTGCAGAACCCTCGACATACTCCAGGATGAGGAGAACGGACTTCACTGGTTCTTGTAGCTCTAAACAAACAGGAGTCGGGTAAACTTGGAGACAGTCAAAACGAGCAATTATCAGTGTGGAACCAGCGTAAATTACACCAGGATGGTTCAAAACAAAGTGATGTTGTGGTAAATTCTTGAGCTGGCATAGATAAGGAGATCCTTGGTACAGAGTTAGTGAAGAATTAAAAGGAGGTTTTGCACAATTTCCAATTGCAAACTGTAACTTAATTGTTTATCAAGTTTGATGCTCATTTTCCAGCCCCGTGGCCCGTACATTGTGTGTACTGTATTCCTGCTGGTGTATGGTGTGTGCTTGGGTTTATTTATAGCTCCGGAGCTAGTTGTTGCTCGTTTACTGTCTCTCAACACAGATCCTGTCCAAAGAAATTAAGGAAGGATAAATTCAACCCCCTGAAAGTGTGTCTGTTTCATAACAGTACAATCAGGAGAGTCCAAGGTATGTTTTTCTATATGAAATAATTTTATCAACAGTTAATACAAATCAGAGAAGTGGCAGAAAGCAAATAGATCTTAATATTTTGTAGTAGTATTAAATGATAATCATTTTTTTGCAAGGTAAGTTACAAAGATAGAAGATGATTGTTAAGATATAACTGTAAAAATTAAAAGAAAAATCTTGCCTTAAGAGAAAGTCTCTTCTTTTTTTTGTGTGTTATAAGTACAGGCTATGCCATAATGCTTATTTGTTCTGATTCTGGAAGAAGTACCTTTATAATTTACTTTTTCTTAAAGGATGAGGAACATGCCCATGTCTTATCCCTCACTGTTTTGTAACAGAGTGTCAGTGGTAGCACATCACCTCCTTCTAGCGCCTCCAGCAACGGTCGCGGGAACGTCCCGGCCAAGGACTCAACGGGCACGTCGAGGGGAGCTCCCCCCGCCACGTACACGGGGCGCGCTGTGCCTGCACCCCTCAGGAGGATGGTGTGGGCTGTGTCCTGCAGGAGACCACAACGCTTCAGGTGTCACAGCCGCAGTGCCCCTGTGATCGAACACCCACGCGGCAGCCCCGGCTGCAGAGCCATCAGGTCACCTGCCCACAGAATGCCCCGAGGCCCGGTTCTCTAGTGCAGGAATCCTGCATGTCCCCTCGTCTTGTCCTCTCAGGCCCTTCTGTTTGAAACAGCCTTTCACTCCTGGGCCCTGGGCCTCAGGAGGGCACTGTGAAAACTGTTTATACTAACGCTGTGAAAAGAGGCAAAACATCTCTGCTGCCAAACCTGGCTAAAGACTGTGAACACAGACCGGGCTCCAAACATCCCCAGCTTGTTCCGATTTGCATTCTTAACCGCAATTCCAAGGTTCTCTGGAGACACAAAACTTGCACAGAGAGGAAGAGCCAGCGGCCCTGCCCTGTGCCAGCTCCTGCTCTGGTCTGCAGCGCCTGGGGCAGGCGTTACCTGGCACCCTGCGTTAACTTTTGGTCGGTCTCTGCTGGAACCCGGCGTAAAGCCCCCGGCTGTGCCGCCAGCCTGCCCCGGGCTCCAGCCCAGCCCTGCTGCTGCTCTGCAGGTGGGAAAAAACCTTCCTCACACTGAGCGCCGGCAGAAGCGGCTCCCTTAACCTCAGTTTATTTACTAAAGGGAATGTATTTCTGCCTACAAATGCTGTGCACTAGGTATAATTATTTGAAACTCCTACTAATGCTCCTGCTGATAAAAATCACTGTAGGCCACAGTTAGACTTTGATCTCCTAATCCAGATGTCTCGATTGTCTCACCTTGCCGAAGAGCACGACCCTGAGATGGTCGGAGTAGTACAGACTTTCATGGTCAGGGCTGAAAGTAACAGTAAAATCCTGGCTCTTCCCAGCAACGATTTCCCCTTCTGTTGGAAAGATGCTGAACGCACTTAAGCCACTATAGTTCTGTGTTCCTGGTAAATAAAAATGAGGATACAAATAAGAAAGGAGGACAGCTCCTTTAGGAGGTTTACTTCTTCGTATATTTTCAACCCATTCAATTTTTGTTGGAACAGCAAATAAAGAAGACCTGATACACAGTTTTGCAGCAAACCAGGGTGTTAGAACTACCAGATAAATCCATCTACCAGCTTCACACATTCACCTCTAGAGGAACTGAAGCAGCATCACCAAATCCTTCCTATATTCTAACGTGTTTTTGCAGAGATGGACATCCCTAAATATAATCTTTAATACGCAGTTACTGTGTGGGCTTATTTAGATTCAGACACTAGGATCTCCTTACTTGTGGATATTTGCTCAGGCTGCATAAATTTACAGCTCCCCATATTGAAAGAATTAGTACAGCTCCTGCTGGGGAAACAAAACCGTGTCTTTGATTTCAGTGACGTGATGCCCCGGGCTTTGACGGTTGTGTAGATCTAACAGGCCAAAGTAACGCTGCTTGATACTGTGCAAGTCTTTAACAAAAGGAAAAGAGGAAAGAAAAAAAAAAGAAGTTTACCAACAAACTCTCTTCTCTGCAAAGGGGATGTAATAAAGGATGGAAGTCTCTGCCAGTCTTTGTCCCTTGTTGACGAAAGCGAATCTAGTTGTATGGAGTATCGCAGGGTCAGCGTGGAAGTGTTCTGTATCTGATGACATGAATTCACACAACAGCATTTTCATCAAAAAAAACTGATTCTCAAGCCTGTAGGATCCAGAGTTGGTGAACTGGCTGAACTTATCTTGCTGCATTACTGCACTAGTGTGTACCCAGACTCCGCTGGTAGCGCACGTCACTGCTGCCCACGGCGAGTCGTGTCAGCCCCCGCCCCCCAACAACAGGGACCAGGCTCCTTCTGGGCGTCTTGCAGCAAATAATGGATTTTGGTTAATCTGAGAGCAGAAAACTTACGCTTAGATGTTGGGCTGTTTCTGAGCCTGTGGGATTCTGCAGTGTGTGAATGAGCGATTGGGCCGAAGTCCCCGGAGCGCACCGCGGCAGAGCAGAGCCCCGTGCGCTCTGCGGGGCCAGTTCTGCCCTTCATCCCTGTCCCTCGGTCACTGCTTTGTGTGGACATGGAGCTGCCTCAACTGCGAGAGCAGGAACAGGCAGAAGAGAGAAAGAGGGCAAATACTTCTAACGCTGGTAAAAGCAAAGCCACTTCTGCCCTCGCATCCCTCTGCAGACAGGCTAGATCTACAGAGAGGATCACCCAGACCACTTCTACTTTTTCTGTTAGGGAGGTACTGGAGCGCGCTGGTTTTGTGGGGGCTGCAGGCAGGACAGCAGCAGCTCACAAGATCCTCCCCGCACAGCTTTGTTACCTTTGGCCTGAAACTCTCAGCACCAAGTCACCCTGGCAGATGTGCTTTTAAAGCCACATTCTTCTGTCTGCAGTTTGCCACTCAGCCTTACGTTCTGTTGGACTGGAACCTACAGAACTCCCCTTCCTCCTTACAGAAACTGCTCATGTGCTTTCCAGTTCAGCACGGAGGGATTTACCTTGAACGTGGAAGTCACCTTCTCTCTGACTACGACATATCCCAGATCGAGGACTTCTTCCACTGAGCAAACAGTTGATGGTGTCACCCCACGACCAGTGATCCTCAGTGTTAGGTTGGTTTTTGCTGTCTGGATGTCCAGCTTTTCAAAAAACTGCCAAGGGAGTGTTTGTGTTGCTCCATTTACTAAAGGAAAACATCCCCCACCCCTCCGACTGTCCCCCTCCCACAAATTACTACAGAACTTTGGCATTTAGTGCACAGACAAAGATCCAAAAGTTGGGAGGGGCTGTGCATGGGCAACACAGTTTTTCTTATAATTATATAATTATCTTATAATTATACAGTCTCATCCCAGTCAGTAATACGTGTGTGTTACACAGCCCGTTGCAAGTGCTCTGTCTCTCCTCTTTCCCCCCATTACTGTCATCTCTCTCACTCACCCATTTACTCTCATTTGGACAAAAAGAGATGCTGAAGGTTTCATTTTCCCCTGGCTCGATCATTCCAACTGGTCTGACCAACAGGAAGGGACCGTTGGGATTCAGAACTGAGAATCCCAGCTAAAATAGTGCAACTTAAGGAAAAAAAATTTATAAACAGAGATTGGGGGAAAAAGACCTAAGAACAGATTCTAAGTATTGTTCAGACCAAAGATGTATAAACTAACCACCTGTAAGCTTTTTCAGAGATCAATAACTAACTCAGAGGAAAGAACTAGTCCATTCTCCCACCCCAATTAAAATAGCTGCGAGATCCTTTTCCAGTTAACCAGAACCCTGTGCAACTCCACTTGCAGATTTTGCCTGGAATGGGTCATTAACAAACACCCTAAGATCCAGGACATGCCTTCTCCTACATTATCTCACCCAGCTTAACCCAGCCAAGCCAGTATAACAGCCTCTTCTTACAAGGTATTCAGAAATTCAGAGAAGTATCATGCAAAAATCGAGTTGTTGGTTCTGTTTCAGATGTACGTCATGCTGCATTGAAACTAGCTTTGGCATCGGTACCTTATATTCTTTAGAAAGCAGTTAAGTGCTTCTCAAATCTGGCTCTAAGCAGAGTTATTTCCAGTTAAAAGGGTGGAATGGAATTAGCTTTCCTGTAGGTCACCTAGGCTCGTCCAATATATTCTTCACATCACCTCCTGCCTCACTCTGAAAGGTGGGTATTAAGTCTGAAATCTGCTACCTCCTACTTGCTTTAGTGTCAAACAGTTCCTCCTACAGATAAAGAGTCAAATCAAACAGAAGCAGAATGGCAGATGAACTTACATGTTCCAAACAAGGATACTTCCATCTTCTCTGAGGAGATGTTCTGTACTGTAATTCGCTTCAGCATTCTGTGGCCTGACCGCAATGAAAACATTTCAGAAAGTTATGATGCTCACTCATGTGCTACCATCCCTCCTTTTTCCTCGTGCTTCTACCTGGGCCAAACGTTGATCCCGTTCCTACGGCTAATACACTAGTCAAAGCTCACCAAAAATCTTTCAGATTTGGACAGTCACTTGTGGAGCTTCCGATGCCGTTTTGGGATCAAGTCTGCTTTCTGCATGCCTCAGCTGGCCAGACAGGTTCCTGATTTTCCACTGAAGTACTTATTGCTGGGCTAGTTTCTATACTGACTTTTGAAAATCGGCTGAACAATGTCAAAGCAAACGTAAAACTATGCTCTGAAGAAACTAACGACAGACAGAAAAAATTCAAAACTTGAATTCGAATTTCATACCTACTGCAACATCACCAAAACTGACGGTGTTTTCTCCATTATCTGAAGTGACCACAAGAGATGGTGCTACAGCTGGACAGTGCAGCTCCACGTACAGAGTGTTGTAAGGGCTAGAGAGATAGTAAAAGGGTATTTGCTCTTGGGTTACATGGAAATAGAAACTGTTGTCCAGAACCTCTTCTTATTCTGTTCATATCACAGGATATCATTAAATTGGTATTACATAACAACACACAATTTTTGGTGGCTGGCCTTCTGTGTATGCCTAAGCAGAAAGATGAACTACATCTGGCTTGAATTTTTCATACAGTTATTCTTTAAGCTGCTTTGATATTCCTGTGCTTGATTCTTACCTAACTAGTGGGTCGTAACTATGAGTTTCTACCACTGACCAATGAAGATCAGGAAACAAATTTCTTCATCAAATTAATAAATTAACATGCCCACCATTTCCCCCTCAAACTTCTCAGCCATCATGAATTGCACGTACCTGCAGCTGAGGTTCTCAGAGCCTTTCTTTCCATCCATAGAGCCACTTGCAACAAAGCATGGTACGATGTATCTGTCAAACCTCCCACGGAAATTCCTCAGCAGGGAAGCCTGGGCTGCCATATAAGCATCAGAACTAGAAAATCCGGGAATAAGAATCATCTTATTAAGTGAGAGAGCAGGAAAGAAAAAAATAAAAAATCAAATCGCTATCTACTGAGCAATTAGTGTTCACTGTTTGTTAGTCATACATTCCAAATTGAACATAACAGTGAAACTGAGCTGCTGTCTCGATGCACAGTAATGGACCCACCCTACCAAGCAGTTTGCTTTTCTCACCAAAGAAAATAAAAACTATAAACCCAGATGTTATACTGAGGATTGCAAAATCCTCAATGCAGTTTCCTTACGTTGAATACATCAAATATTCTGTTGGCTCCCAGTACCACCATCATTACAGTGGTACGGAAACACATGATCACGTTTCTGTAATGCAACGTGCCAAGCAATACTTCAGAAGGGGAGTTTTCAAATAGAAATATTATTTTTATGACCTGTACTGAAAGTATTTAGAAGATGTAATTAATGCGTTGCGGCCAACATGGGATTTTAGTCAAAAATCTCTAACGTCCAGTCCAGCCAAATGCCTCACGTTTAAGCATGCATTTACTTCCAAACACTTCGAAATTCCTCAGATTAGGCAGAAGTGGGGCTCTATAAAGTTGAATTATATGTTGAACAAGGGACCTGAAGTATCAGATTTTGCATCAAAGTTTCCAAATTTCTAGATAGCACATGCTACTAACGTTAATTCTCAGAGGGACACGTATTGTAAAATGACAATTTGAAATGCAGATTTTACAGCATCATTACATTTCCAGGGCTTATATATGGAAATTCTTAATAAAGAACAATTGATATGGGCCATCAGATGGTTTCCTTCTGGGCTGAATGTATTCAGCTCTGTCAGACCTATTCAGAAAAGGTACATTAGTAGTAGTTTCTTTTGGTAACTAAGTTCAGCTTTCTTAGTGGCCCTTTAAAATAACACCCTTGTTGCTTCAGCCAAATTTACCCGGACAGCCACCTCTCCTGCTTTCTGATAGATTCTCTGAAGTCTTCAATCCCTCTGATGCATAAAGGGAGCCTTTGCTGTACACGAGAGGCTCCAGCTGTGTGGCTTACAAGCACTACTAATTTTGGAAACAGCCTTTCAACACATAGCTAAAGCTATTTCTTCTCTACAGTTTGCTTTCTTCACTACCTATAGGTTTTAGTAGATTTATTAAACCACTTAGAGGAGAATGCTGTCGCTGTAGTACAGGAAGCTTTTGCTGACTTACTCAGGCTTTAACTCCTTGGGGTTTGGTTGTTCAGAACTACATGGAGAGGGCAGGTGTGTGCTGCCTCCGTCCCCTACAAGCTGTCTGGAAGACTGCTGCTTGGTAATGGAAATGCTGCGTTTCTTTCCCTCTTTCTTTTCATCTTTCTTCCTTTTCTGCAAATACACACAGGGAGATGTTACACACTGAGGTGATCCCTGGTAATCTAGTTCACAGAACCTCAGAGGGGGCAGAGTGCACGGAGCAAGGGGCCGGCAGCAGGATGATGGTAGCGAGCCACAGACACAGCAGTTACTGCCCACATTTCTAATAATGTAAAATTAAGTTGAAATGGACACATCTTACCCCATAAAAAAAAAAAAAAAAAAAAAAGAGTTCCCCTATTCGAGCAGCTGAGTAAAAGACTGAATCTCTCATGGAAATTTCACCTATTTATCTCATAATTCAAGACAACCATAGGTGCTCACAGAAATTAACTGACCCACTGCACCTCATATAAAGTCCTTGTATGTGGTAAACCTGCAAGAAGTGTCGAAATTTCTTTTTTTGTTGTTTTGAGTACTTGCAGTTAGCACTTGCAAGAAAATTTTTCGCTTGCAAGGAAAGCTTTTGAAATTGTTAGCATGAAATTAAATTATTGCTTGGTGAACAGACTACACATGAAGTGCAACAGTACAGTCACACTCTTGTCCTTCATAGGCGGCTCTGACATGGATCATGGGTTTGGGCTTCATTAATATGCAAATAATTTTATGATAAAAATACCATCCAGAGAAACAAATCTCTAGAAGTATCAGACCAACAGCATGTGCTAGTTCTTAGCATTCCTTACTTGTATTTCTGCCCCTGTCGCAGCTGCTCTGCAAAGCCTCCGAACTGCCTCTTCTCTGATTAGCTGATCTGAGAGTGTCGGGCTGAAGGACACTTGAATCAAGCTTTTCTGGGAGCGTGAGAGCACACACAAGAATGAGAGGCAGAATTCAGCCCTCACACGTTATACCTACCAAGCTCAACAGCAGCATAGACATGACACCAAAAGATTAACAAAATACAGGCTTTTCCAGTGAGTAAGACGATCGTGAGGGTAAGGTCACTTCCAGCTTTCTTGGAAGTCCACTCTGTTACCGTGGGCACGTTTTACATGCCCAACATTTTTGATATTTAAACATTCTTCATACAAATCACACTGACAGCATCGGGGAAAGAACATTCAGGGTGAAAGCTCCCATCCAGCATTAGCCAGATTAGCTGGTTAACCCTTCATGTCCAGTTTAAAACATTATTTCAAACAATACAAAAATACTCCAGCTATTCTAATAATAATTTACATTTGGAGCTTCATTTACAGGTGACAGCATTTGTAGGGATGTAGACGATCAAAAGATTTGGCAGGACACCGGATGTTTAAAGTGAATTTACCTTCCCAGGAAACACAACCCCAACGGAAGGTGTGATTGTCACGGGACAGTCTTCTGGCACACGGAATTCAAACCAAGTGGGTCCAAGAGGGGCAGGTTCCCCGCTGCCCGTTCTTGGGACAGCGTGAGTCAAGCGGTTGGCACTCACGTGGGAATTCATCACATACAGTGTTGCTGTAGACACACCATTTAAAGCTGTTGCAGCAAACCGAACTAAGGAATGAGACAATTCAAGAGGTGGGTGGACTCCAACTGCTTTGCATGACAGCTTGAATTGTCTAAAAATAAACACATGATAAATTGTCTCAGCATAAAATAGTCTCTTAATCAGCCCGGAAAATAGGGAACTAATCCTGTAGTCCCTATTTAAGCAGAATTTCAAGCTTGCAATGGGAATTTTGCCTAAAGATGAACAATAATACTATCTATTTTTAATGCACAATTGGCTAGAGTCCCTACTTGAATTCTTCCTCTGTGAACTTCTGGAAATGCATCGAGTCAAATCCAAGTTTATGCCATCATTATTTTAGTAGCATTAGCTTAATGTATGAAGCATTTTTACAAAAAAGATCCCTCAGTAATTCTGCTGAAAAAGCAAGCAGAACATTGCAGGTTAAGACAACCTGGGGCAAAACTGCAGCTTGGGCATGTGAGAAGGATAAATTTCAGGTGGGATAGGAAAAGTCATCTCAGTGAAGACTGACAGGTAAATGAAGGGTGAAACTAAGAGGCACTGAGCAACTCTGGTCAACGGGAGAATTCCTGCCTGCCTCACCTCTTCAAAGCCGGCAGGGATTGGATTTCTGACCTAGCTTAACAGTGGAAACTCAGTGTGACGGAGACTTCTACATTCCCTACTACCCAACCAATTTCTTAACATACCTATTAATCTCTGACTTGCAGGTTAGTTCAAAGCTGTACTCTTGTGCCTTGCTAGCTTTAAAGACTATGTCCAATGTCAGGCTTTCAAGGGGAAGAAGAATTCCAAGTCCATCATTGGGTTGAATTTCCACAAACTTCAAAATGGCAGGATAAGAAATTGTTGTTATTAAGATAAGAAATTATTAGTTAAATTATCAAATTATTAAATAAATCAAAATAAGACATTACTGGCAAGGTAAGAAAATTTTGTTATTAAATGTACAAATGTCAGGAAATCAGAAACCTCCTAGTGAGCAGCTTTCCTTTGAGTTAGTGAGTAGTTTCTGACTGATGTGCAGATTTCTCATCTCAGAGTAACTTGAAAGGCATTAAACCCATTAGCTCAGACTTCAGTAGAATCTCTTCCCCAGCTTCTTACCATCTACGGTAATCACCTTTCTCTGATGAAGTTTATTTACCCTTCATAGACAACTGACTGAAATACAGTCCCCCTGTATCTTTGGAGATTCCTGTATGATGTGCAGATACTTCAGTGACAAGTACCAGTTTAGTATCTACAAACACATATTGGTTCGTGTTTGTGAGTTGATAATGATTCAAGAATATCTCCCTATCACATTATAAGCTAATCACGAAACACATTCTGTGAAGTAAAGCTTTAATGAAGCTGAAGAGTCCAATTTCTTTTATCTAACTCCCTGATTTTAATCCCCAAAACAGCAGAAAAAGGGAGAATGCCTAATTAAATGTCAGGTTCCTCTAGCTCCGACTCCAATATGCCAAACCATTTCACACTGTGATCATCATGCTATTATGGAGCTTGAACAGCTAACTTTTTGCAAAAGAAAATAATTCAGTAGACCTAGCCCACACGAAACTGGCAGCTCCTGTGATTAATTTAGCCTCCACATCAACTTACAGTCAGTCAGAAAATACCCAGGCGTGCTTCAGGGGATGATTCCCAATAAGCAGTGTGGACGTGGCCATCCTGCCTTAAAGACAAAGTGTTCGGGCATTTGGACGCAAACTGTGTGATATTCCTCAGCCTCAAGGCCAAAGCAACACCCCTAAGCTTGTTTTGTTTAGTGCTGTAAGCTAAGTATAAAACCTGTGAGCCCGAAAGAAAAGTGCCCCGGGTATTCTGTTAGGAGAGATCTTGGTGTAAAAAGCAGGTATCCTAATAAGATAAATAATAATGTTATGTAGGTCGGAACAGTAAAAACTCCTCAAAGATGTTCATCCTGCCTGGAAAAAGCTTAGGGTGCAATAAGCTGAAATTTAAAGAAACCAGTACCAGAGCTAATCTCTGTGTTTCCACAGTGCTGCAGGCAGAAGGATTTCCATGGGTTTGCAAGAAAACAGTCGTGATTTATTTATACTCACATTGAAACACGTCTTCAAAATAATTAAATTTATTTTGGTACAAGAAGAGGTGTGTGTGGGGGGATAACTACATACCTCTGGAAGTCCCACAAATCCAAACTCCTGTGGCAAGATGGATTTGTTTGTTACTGTGACATTGGCCTGCACAGCTTCGTAGACTGTGCAGTATCCAAAATTGATTTGTGTGGGACTAATTTCCAAATCCGAAGTAGTAACAATTGCATGCACAGTAAAATTAACTTTTTTAGCCTGAAACAAATGCAAGAGCACGTGATAAAAACCTTCATCTGTAGCATTGTACAAAGAAGATTTAAGTGAAATGTCATCCAAAAAGATAACTGCAAAAAAGTCATGCTACTCTATTCCTTGTAAATTCCGTGTAAATGTAACGAAGCTGTCTTGAACTTCAGCCTCATTGTTCCCCAAAAACAAGCAATAAGAAATGTGTCTTTGATAAGCAAAATTTTAAAAAATATCATCTATATCTCACAATCCATATGCTAGAATGGAATCATACCTGCATCTCCAGGAAATGTCAACGCAAGGAAAAGACTACATCTGCAGCACAGATCAGCATTAAAGAGATTGTGCTGTGGTATCTGAGAACTCCCCGGTACAAAATAGACTCCCAGGGAGTAGATGAGCACTAACTCGAAAGGATTTAACTTTCTGTATTGTAAACGCGCCGACAAGAAGAAACTATTAAATCTGTGTTAGCACTTTAAGCACCTTTTACTATGATCACAGGACTTCAACTAGTAAAGAACTAGTCTAAGATTAGGCATAATTAAGTGAACAGTCACTAAAATAACTTACACCTATTGTCAGCCTGATAACCAGCATAATAAAAATCACTAACCTTATTGACAATCAGTATTGTCACCGGAACTTCCAGAACTCTTGTCTCTTCATTGAAATAACTCCCTGCATCTTCAGGAAGAGAGGGCCTGAAAATCCCAGAGTACATTCAGTTTCATTAAAATATTTTGACTGCTTTTTAGGTAAAGGGAATAGTAAACTTTTGCTGGATGTATTTCTGAAAAAAAAACCAAACCCAACCCCAAACCACAAAAAGATGAACAATGTGTTAGTTACGGTCTCAAAGTTTTATTATTCACAGCTTTTAATCTTAACCCAGTATTTGTGCTCAGATAGGAGCATTCACATCCACAGTTGATTAAGCTTCACTGAAGTCTTTAGTTAGACTTTAAGTCTAACTAAAACCCTGTATGCAAGGTAGACGTGAGTATTGGGGAGAATGGTGGGAGAAAATACCAATCAAAAACTAGTGACCTATGAAGTTCCACCTTCTGACCAAGACAAGGAAGGTGCAGTCAGATCAGAAGTATTCCACCTTGTGCCAGGTTTCTCCCGGGCAGCCGCCCTGCGCAGGCACGCACAGAGCACGAGGAAGTTACAATAACTGACCGTCTACCTTCATGTCGGATTGATTTATTTATTTATTTATTTATTAAAGACAGGCTTTTGGACAGACAGGAGTTTAAGGGAGTTATTCACAGAGGTCCGCATCCATTTATCCTTTTTTTTTTTTTTTTTTACCTTTTTTTTTTTTTTTTAATTTATTTATTTTTAAATGCTATCCAGTCATTTCAAATTCTGAAAAATGTAAAGCTCATTGTAGACCAACAAGCCTTCTGCACCTCTGCTGCACCCTGGGCAGCTGGTTCTGTTCAGCGCTGCCCCGAGTTACTTCCCAGCCTGCCTGAGGCAGAACCAACCGTGTCACAGAGCACAGAAACATAAACGAAGTGAAACAAACTTGGAGACCAGTAGTGCCTGATTATGCACCAGATTAGTAATTTATAAGCAATATGCGGGTTTTCTGTCGCCGAAGCATCTTTTGCTCTCATAAGCTCAATTTTAGAGCTTCAAGCCAAGCCAATACAAAAGCTCCAGCATTTTTAGCTCTGCTGCTCTATTTATAGTGGCTTACAGCACCAGAGTGAATTGCTTCCTGTTCTTAGGTCTCCACAGCAATAATGTTCCTACTACTACTACTGGAATTACAGGCAGGTTTTTTTTCATGTCTTGTTAAAGAATAGTTAATGAATAAATAGCACCCACTCAGTCACCATGGTGATGTGAAATCTGGGCTGTTATTTTGCAAGTCTGAACTGGGACTTTAGAAGGTGATCTTCAAAGGTATTGCTGACTTCTTTAAAGGTAGGAACTGGAGTTAAATCCAAGGTAGGAATAAAGTAGCAGCTTTCACTTTGTCACAGGACATTAGAACAGCAGGAGAGATTCATGTAGTACAAAATAATAAATAATCCATGTCTTACAAAAAAAACAATTGTAGCTGTGCATAGACAGTGAGGGATTCTAAATCAGCTGTTATGCCTTGGGGGAAAGATACTGAAATCCTTCAGACAGTTCTCTGAAAATGGCATCTTCATGCTTAAAAGCAATTAAAGAGAAGCATAAAAGACGAATCAGATTTAGACTGCCAGCATCTGCAGGACTAGTTCCAAATGCAGAAAAACTAAGAGATGTGGTATTTGGGAATTCTGAAAGTCAGCAGATTAGAGAACTTGCCTTCAAATAAACAGAAAATGCTTCAAACACTCAGAAAATTATGAGCATTGTAACATCTGACCTAGCAGTTCAGTGTGCCCAGAATACTCAGGAGAGCTTCCCAAGCCTTCACTCATCTATCTGCTCACTTCGTATTGCTGAGTGTGTGGTTTTGTGGGGGTTTTTTTGTTTTGTTTTTTTTTTTTAACTTTTCTGTTCCTTTTAGAATAGCTATTCCTTTGTATGAGAAAACCAAGCCTATAATACTAAGTCCATGAGGAGGCATTTACAGAAATGTGTCACTAGCTCAGTACTTCACATCAGCTCGTAGCAAGCTCATCTTTCTCTGTCAAACACACACTCCCCCTGCGTGTTCGGTCTTCTAAAACCGATCGGTATGCTGAAACAGCCAGATACTCATTCTGTGTGTCAAAAATGCCTTCATCTCATCAACTCTCCTTTCTGAAGCTTCCCCATTTTTCAAAGGAAGATTAATGTCCTCAACAAGCTACGCTTCTATCCACTCCTAAGTATAACAGCACTTTGCAGCATCTGAAGTTCAGGAACTGAAAAATGTCATAGTAATGGTTCCTGTTGTAATCTGATAGGATTTGAGGTGTTGGAAGAACTGTAAATAACTTGGAGTTCTTTGAATATTAACCTGGTGAAAAATTCAAATTCCGTAATTAGACTCTTAATTTAGAAACCAAAGATGCTGAGCACATCACTGAAAATCCAAATATACTTACACCCGTGGGACTAGATAACCTGTGTGAAAAAATCAGGTTTGCAGGGCTGAAAGATTTGGGCACCACATTTAAGATCTATATAACTTATGTTTGAAAAGAAATGTCCTGCTAATTTATTGAGGATGGCAATGACGAGGTAAATAAAATTAACAGTGGTCAACAAGAGCCCTTGACTAAATTTTTGAAAAGCAGCACTCTGTTTCCTGTAACTGAGTTATGTTTGTGTACGTAGATGTTTCATGAAATGCAGAAGAGAAACTTGCTGGGGTAAGGCTATTAGCAGCTTAGAGGACGTTATATAAAAAGCCACATGAAATTCAAGAGCAAGACATTCGTGTTTTGGAGAAAAAGGTACGTGGGTAGGAGGGATACGAACAGGAAGCCCAACCATTCTTACCTTAATTAGCAAGCACAGGAGTTCTTGTCCAGAAATTATTTAATCAGTGATCCATGAAGCAGCCACCTGCCCAGATGACCCCTCTGTTGCATAAGAATAGCCTCCCCACAGAAACGGGGGCAGCCTACCAGGACTGCAACTGCTAAGATTTCCACACTGCTGCTGTCACCACAGGAAAAGCATTTCCTCACAGGTATGGGATCCAAGCTCATTTCCTCCTTGAGCACTTGGCAGCTCTTCAAGGGGAGAGAGGGGGGAGACTGCACTGACACCAGCAGCGTGGAGTCCAGCCTGCTACAAAACCCTGACCTGCTTCCTACAGATATTGTCTAAAAAACTGGAAAGATGAATGTTGTCAGCTTACCTGGGCAAGAACTTGAGTTGCACGCTGAAGGATGACTGAGCTTGGATGTAGCCTGCCTTTGGAAGCAGCTCCATGTGCTTGCTTAGTCCTTTGCATACTTTAAACTTCAAACGCAGCGTGGTTTTTGCTCTGCAAGCAGATCAGACATGCTGAGGTGGCTCTAAGGCTGCCCGTGCTGCCACCTCAGCAACATTTGCTCTTGGAGTTTGGCACCCCCGTCCCCAAACTTGCATCTCTACATTATGATTGTAACAATTCCAAGCTTCCTTTGAAAGTGATGGGCATGTAAAACTGCTACAGCAAAATCACACTTGTATTCTTTTAAGTATAGAAAACGAGATTTTGGAAGTACTTTAGGTAAATTGAGCTGTATTTCAAGCAAATACACAGCTGATCAGAGCATCATTATCAAAGCACTGCGCAGTGGTAACTCAGGTCAGGGGAAAAAGCCAAATTATTGTGAAATATCAGGGAATTATTTGCTCCTAACATCCATTCCTTCTATGCGAATCAACAGGAATGACTCACGGAACGTTTAAGACACCTAATTGGTCCTAGCTGCAGCACAGAACCCACTCAAGATGGAAAAGGAGTAGTTGCCTTGTACTGCTGGCTCTAGGTTATGTAACAACTAGTGGTGGGTGGGGTGCAACACATAAAAACCTGTTATTCTGTTTGAGAAACAGAACGAGGACCAGTGACACCTAAGTGGGGCCGAGGATACCTGGGTGCTGCTTAAGTGGCTAATAAGGACTTAATGACCCAGCCCCTAGCCAGGAGAATCAACAGAATGAACCTGAAAGAGCATAATACACCTAAAACATCAACATGTGTCCACTCTGTGAACTCCATTCATCCTCTTTATCATCATAATTATCTCAAAACCTTCAATACCAAAAGTTAAGCCAGGCAGGAAAACACCTCAAACTCAGAAGGGGAGCGATGTCTTACGCCAGAAATGCACTGAGAGCACTGCTGCTTTGGGGTTTTCTCCCCAAAACCGTGGTGACGACTTTTCCATAGACCTGAATTCACTGATCTCTTGTAACTTCTTCTCTGAGTCTCCACAGGGCTAGCAGTCACAGGGTGGCTAAGCCGGTAGTGGCAGTTCCTCTGCCAAAACCTGTGATCAGTTTGCCCCACGAACGGCGTACTGGGAGCTAGGAAACATCTCCCTGTCTGCTGAATTCTGGCCATATTATCATGCAGCGATAGCCACAGACCATAACCTGCTTTGGAGTTTTATGCCGAAGTGCAAAATTGCCAAGCAAATTACAAATATTTCAGCTTGTCATCTTCCTTCTCTTGGACTGGTTTACAAGCTGTCAGTCCAGATGGTCTGCTCTAAATCAACAGCTATAGCATGTGGCACTGGGAGCCCGGAATGATTTCTGACTGTTGACAGTCTAAGAGAACTATATACTACTTCATTAAATCAGTGCAGATTATAACCTGCCAAGAAATTGCTTTTCAAAGTGATTTATATTGCACAGGGTTCTGATAAGACACTTTCACCTTTTATGCTGATTATTTATGCTTTCTGATTAGCGTCTTCCATGTGACCAGAAAAAACCCAAAACAAAACCAGTATTAACTAACATTGTGCAGTTCTACAGAGCTTGCTGGGGCACTTAAGTGCCAGAGCTGTCTTCCTCGAAAACTTGATCTTCTCCTTATGCTATAGACTACAACGTCACAGACTGCAGCAGCAGCAAGATGCAGGCAAGTTCTTTCTGCTCTGCTTCTGTCAGGTGTTTGTGGGAACTGGTGCTGAACAAAAAGTTACTCTAACACATCATCTCCCTCGGGTCTGGGTCAGATTTTACCCCCAAAATCTAAAGAATTCTCTTGCTACAAGTTTTAGATAACTTTTTTCCCCCCTGTATCTAGTTAGGGATTGGAGCAGCAATTCGTAAGAATACCCCTGAATAGCAAGATTCTTTCAGTATCTAATTACCGTTTAATTAAAGAACCTAGAAGTTATGCCAATAAGATTTGGCATCTACCAGATCTGAGCTTTAGTTGTCAGTAGCCAAGGCATGCAGGGGTTAGATGAGCAGCCTTTTCAGCTGGGCTGTGGTCATCTTACCTCTGGCCCACTGCACCGAACACCAGTTCACAGACAGCTGGGTAGTAACTCTTTAGCTGGTACACGGTTGACACGTAAAGCTGTTGTAACAAACTATAATCTTTGGTTGTGTGTTGACAGCAGTTTGGACTCTCCTTTGCTAGTCTGATACTTGTCCTGGGCTCTGGACCCTTTGTCTGTGCGTGGTTCCAGGCCCAGACCTCAGTCAGGCTACCTTTCCCCAGTTTTTCACTATTGCAATTAAAATACAACTACATACTAGTCTAACGTAAGAAATTGTTCTTGACTGATCGTAATTTATAGCTACTTCCAGCAGTTTAAATTAATTCTGTTTGAGAAGTGGTTTGGCATGTACCACGTAACAATGAGGAATCCTCTTTCTGACCCACGCTACAGAAAAATTTCAGTAGCTACTAGAGGAAGAAACTTCTCAGGCACCACATCTGAATGATGAAATCTATCTCCTTTTGCAGTATAAAAACTCGAGACGTGATATTCCTGCACATGAAATACTTTGAATTTCAGCCCAAATGACTGCATAACAAAGACAATTTTTCCTAACTGTGGAGAACTGGGTGATAAACCAAAAACTTGATTTGCCAAGGTACTAAGGACAGTATACTACATATTAAGTTCTCTTAATTTAGTGAAACTTGGCAAAGCATCAGCAGGATTTTTCCCTCAGTTAAGAAGTTTTGCCCTAAGCAATTTGACAGCTTCTATCTTGAAGTCTTAAGTTTTCATTAGGACAGTTATTCTGCTTTGATACTTGTGAGTTTTATCCCTGGGTTATCTAGACCAAGTAAAATCACTTACATAACAACTTGTGCTTGTCATATCTGTAAGCTGAATTTCTGAGATAACAGCTTTACTCATTTCTTTCCAACTGTGAAGAATCTCTGCAGTCTGTAATTCTGGTAAGAGGTTTCGAATGGATGCCTTCTACTGAACCAACCTCTCCCCCACCCTCCCACAACCCCACCCCAATCCTATTTAAATAGAATCTAAGAAACGCAAATTGTTAAAATAAGCATTCAGTAGTGACTGCATTAGGTAGAGGGAAGACACCCAGCACCTGAAGACAATTAAGATGAGTAACAGTTCATGCAAGCTCTCTCTAATAGCATGAAACTGGGAGCCAGTCAGCTGAAATATTACCTTTATATTACAGCGCAACCAGAACTGGTCGTCAGGCATTACTGACTTGGACTACAGAAACACCCAGATATTTTTTCCTCTATAAATTGCTATTTGGTCACTGTCTGTGTACTTAAAAGGTATCTGTCACTCCAGTGCAGTGCTTAAGGCCTATACGGGTTAGGAAAAGTTGTCCCCTTCCCATTTTATAGTAAATGCAAAGGGACTGACATGATTTATCCAGCATCACATCCCAAGTCAGGCAAGACTGGTGACTGACCGTCTCAATAAAGAACAGTTGGCATGAGGCTGGCTTCCAGATCATAAGTTCTCACATGGACTTTAATTAAAGGTAAAATAACTAATAACAAAATATTTTTATAAAATTTATTGGCTGAATCATTATACCCAACATGCACTTAATTTTAGTCACATTTATCTCCCTAATGTTTAGTGTGAAATCCCACACGAAGGAACTCTGTGGGGTTGCTGTTCTCTAGGGACTTTACAGTTGTCCACTGGACAGGCACAACACCAGGAATCTTGTGGGAACAAAAGACTTGTATTAACCCAGATACTTCACAGCTACACCTGCTCGTGGCTATCTGGGTCAGTAGGACCCCCAAGTCTGATTCCCACAGCAGTGTGGAACTCAGGGCTTGTAATCAGGATGTCCTCCTGGAAAGGCCTCAAATGCCTCCGGGAAAGACAAGATGGGTCTGGCACAATGGAATCTCAAGACATCACCTAGTGACTTAAGGTCTCATCATTCAGCTGTGGAAGGCAGCTGATAAAGGGCAACTCACCTGCTTCGAATGGCAACGCAATCCTGATAAAGTCGGTTGTACATACAGATCTTGAAATCAACCTTGGGATTGGGCACCCAAACTGGCACATCGGTGGAAACTCCAATGGCACTAAAGCACAGCTGTTAATACAAAAATCAAGAGTGTTAATATTACTGTTAGTCTCAAGTTCTGACTGATCTAGACTGAGCAAGAATTTCTATTACAAACTACAGTAAAATATTTTATTATTCATATTGCACCAGGTTGTTCAATCAGGCAAAACTATTAAAATAATTTGTGAAATAAAACCTCGATCTTATGGTGTCCCAGCAGAAAAAAACAATTATACTTTGGTTTGGATTTTTTGACAACAAACATGAAGGAACAGCACAGTGCCCATGATACAGAAAAGAAACATTAAAGCACATCTAGCTTAAGGGAGTGTGCCACAGTTCAGAGACGCAGAGACTGCAGCCTGCTTGGCCAGCAAAGATACAGCACTGGCAGCAAGTGCTGGGCTCCCTGTAACGACCCTAGGTCTGACACCAGTGACCACACAGCTCAGCCTCGGCTGAAATGGTCCTGAGAGGGCGCCCACAGGAGCCTTTACTACGCATCTGTGGTTCCTGTTGTAGACTACTCCATCTGTAGACTGTGGGCAGAGCCAAGACTGGCCTACTGAGCTTCTTGGAAGTTTTTCTTTATTTTTTTGGCAAGCTTCTGTGAACTGTTCCCAGGCAGAATTTGGCTTCCAATAAAGTGTAGAATCAAAATATGCTGAAGTGGTAACTAAAGTTGTCATCTCTTCCAGCTTTCACGCATCAGTTTCACTACTGCATGCTAAAGAATTCCAATTCTGATGTATCAGAAAGAAAATAAACCATGTGGGTTGGGAATAGAGGAGAATACTTCCGTATGCATTTCCAGGACATTAGATGCTCTCCAGTATGATGTCTGATAAAACAGGAATATCAGGATTATTTGCATAGGACTTTAATAGAATCAACAGGTTTAACAACCACACTGCATCGGAAAGAAGGGCCATGATCTACAGAGTCACCTCCCATCAAACCACAGGATACAAAATCCCATGGTACCTCACTGTCATTTCTTACCGTGCTCAGAAACACACCTGCCCTCTACCTCCTTCTCCTGTTTCTACTGTGGGATTCTGAGCTCTTTTAACTACTGGGAAAAGCAGAAGTAGGAGGATTTAAAACTCTTTCTACAGTGTTTTGAAGCAAGTATTGCATAAAATCACTCACTGGTTTGCAGTCTGAGTTGTCAAACATGATCACAAACTCTGCCTGCACATCCCCAGGGATAGTCGGGACAAAGATAACCTGAAGCTTGACTGAGCTGAAGGGTCCAATTTCCCCCTCAGTCACCTAAACAAGAAGGAACATGTTTTTAATGAAAATGACTGTATTGCTGTAGTTGGCTATAAATTGTATTGAAATAGAGAAGCAGTATATACTCATACTATACAAACACTCTACTACACCTTCTTTGTAACTAGAATGAATGCACTGTGCAAGGGAAAAAATCCCTATCAGCAGCTCCCTAGGAGGTTCATTGTGGGGAAAAGACTTGGCAAGACACGTGGTTTCACAACCAGGCACAGTGAGAACCTCCCCGAGTCTCCTTTCACTGCAAGACTCCGTGTGACAGCTGGTAAGGTGGCTGCCACTCCAAGATCTGCTCTACTGATTGGACCATTAAGTCCAGCAGCGTTTTGCACACATAAGCAGAGGCTGTGGATCCTAGTATGAACTCGTGTCTGGACTCTCATAACCAGATTTGTTAATAGGGCTCAAGTTTGCCCAAACATTCTTCCTAACCCATCTTTTGTGTTGTCCCTAGACTTTGTCTAACCACAAAACAACACAGCAGAAAAACATTTGGGAAAAAAAATTTGAAAAATTAAATTATGGGGAATGTAAATATATAGAGAATCTTTCAGCTCAAATAAGTCTTTATAGATCAAAAGAAAGGGCAAAGGTGTCATGAGATTTCATTTTAAGAATTAGTTGTGGTAGAGTGAAGGCCAGTGTGCTTGAAATTCAGCATGTACTTAGGCATTTCCCACCAGAGCCAAAGCAATATATTTGATGTAGGCTTAGACTAGTGAAAATCTGGTCTGTATCTCAGGATATTTGTTACCTTTCCAAGCATCATTTCAACCGGTGTTTCTTCAGGAGAAAGTTCCACTAAATGATGTGCATTGTCTGTGTCTAGATCTGTTCTGGAATTTAAGACATCTTGACCAAGTTGTTCTGTGGAAAAAAAAACCAAAACACAACAACAAACAAAACCCCATGAAATGCTGGATTTGTGCACCTATTCACTAAACAAAAATATCAAACAGAGAAGTGTATTGATTTTGGTCAATATTGCAAATCCACTTGTGTACCTCTGATAGGGAAATAGAAATGTCTAGAAGGACATTTCCGTTTGGCTGTGCAACTCTGCCCTTTGTCTAAGTCTACCTTGGGCACCTGAGCTTTCCACTACAGAATAACAACACTAGTGTTTCAGTAGGATAAATATATATAACAGTAAAGATTGTTACATCAAGGGATGCAAATTCAGCCGAAAGCGTGAACTGGGCTTTACGAACAATTGCAGTGGGACAAAGCAAAGCAGTCAGGAGGACCTGCAAAGCAAGTGGAAGCGTTGCTTCACTTAAATTTCAAACCAACTGCAATAATAAGTACCTTGTAATTAAAGAGTCTCCCACCAGGACTTTGAAGTGCCATCACGAGAGAGACAAAGCTAACATTGGACTGTGTGGCACTAATCAACTGGCCACCAAAGGCTTCACATTAACCAGGAAAAAGATAGAAGCATCGTGAGATACGTTAATGCACCAAAGCAAGAAAAATTAATTTTTTATATATTTTTTTTAAGGTCTGAAAACATCGTTAAAGGTATGTGTTCTGGGAAGACACCTACACCATGATTTATAGAATAACTCCATTTCACAATACAGATCCCAGATTTAAAAAGAAAAACCACCCACATAATCCATATCATGGAACTTTTCGTTTCCTGCAGTTGGAATAAGCAACATCCAGAAGAACTGTTAAAGAATACAGATAATAAAAAAAGGAAGAAAGTCTTTCTTCAATGAGACTGGATTTTATTAAGAACATAGTAAACATTAGGAATGGGATGGAATATGTCTGAGAAGGTTCATCTTTCTGCTTCCTTGTTCCTAGAATTACAGACTGTAAAAATAAACCTGTCATGTGGATTTCTATTCTGAGAAGTGGGTATTCAGTTGCTGAGACAAGAACGATGATAACAATTTTGCAGTTTCTGTAAGCTAGTTGGTTTTTCTATTCTTCTGAGACTGAATTGTTGATCGTTAATGAGAAGTGAGATTCTCTGCTGCTTTTGATATAATGGTGTCAGTACATTATTTTTAGTAATTTTTTGTGAGGCAGCATACAAAGAAATAGAACATTACTACTAGAATGATGAACTACTTAATTTACTGAGTAACTTCGCAAACTGAAAATTCCACAGTTCATTACAGGAAACTCTATAAATGGATAGTGCTTGGCCTGGGAGACTGCAGTGCCAGTTTTCTAAAATAGTCCTCTTACCTGCGGAACTGCCACTGGGGCTTGTCTCCATCCTCTGCTGCCCCGCCTGGGCCACACAGCAGGTCACCTCTTCCCTGTGGTCAGGACAAACTTGTTCCTTCTTTTCAACCACAGATGTCACAGGACTATCGCTGACTTTCTTTTCATGGGCACAGTCACTCAAACAGGGAGTAACCTATTAGAAAACAGAAAAAAATGTTTTTTACTGTGACTGCATCTAACTTGTACCAGCTCCAATTTTATCAAGCAGTCGCAAATCAGACTTGTGTTTCCTTGCGACTGTTTCGTGTGGAGAAATGTGTTGCACTTTCTAAACCTGCACATTCTACTAGACGTTTATCAAGGAACGTATTTCAGTTTTGCTGGCTGCCTAAACCAGGTAAATAATGTAATGAGAGCAATACAATATAGTGTCAGTTATTTTACCATTAACAGAACTAACATTTTACTAAGGGAAACACAGGCACTTCTATGTCAAAACTAAGTCTTCTAAAACTAGCTTCTGTTTATTCCAGACCTACAAAAGACAGAATGCAGAAGGAAAACCGTGGATACAGATGGTGTTATTTCACAAATTCTTTGTCTGAACCACACTTTTATTGTAAAGATAGGATGAGAGGTGAACACCACGGCAAACAGCTCAGCAGTTTCACTTGTACATGACTGAACGTAGCATTCTAAAAGAGAGGTCAGACCTTTTATCAAGAAGAGAATTTTGAAAACCATCTGAGCCAACTGCTCTTCAACAAAGAAATTAAAGACTGCACTGATGGAACAAAGATGAAGTATCTGCACTGTGTTTACAAGAACGTGTAGGCACTTCATAACAAAGGTGTGCAACCTAGTAGTGATGTTCTCTCTGGTCAAGGACCTCTGAAATCTCCTCATTTATGGGTACAGCCACTGCAACGCTTGAGGAAAAAGGAACATTCACAGTAATGATATTCTGCAACACAGGAACTACAAAGCACAAATTCCTACCATAGTGAGTGGTTGCTTGATTTTGTTTTATTCTGTTGTGGGGTTTTTTTGGTTTTTTGTTTGTTTTTTTTTTTAATTGGAAGGTTTCCCACTTTAAGAATAAAATCCACAATTTCTTTAGAAAAGGAGTAAGTAAGTCTTCAGACTTAAGCTGTTCAATCGTCTCAAAACTCTGCCCCCCAGTGATGACATGCGAAGACGATCGTACACTTGCTTGCTTTGGAAGTGTTTTTCACTTTAAATTATCTGCTACATGGAGGAGCACAGCTGTTAGGATTCCTCAGTTTTCTGTCAACTTTAAAACTGGCAGCTGTAGGAGCAATCACTCTCAGGTCTAACACCAGACATTTTGTCAGTTCTGCACCAAGTGTCTGAGCTTTGGTACGTTTTGACAGTCTCTGCTTCGTTCCAGGACATTCCACAGGACACAATATCACAGACATTTGCATTCGTTCCACTATTGATCTCAGAGATCTTCCTTCAGTTCTTTTAACACTATTTATTATATAGTTTTCAGGCAACAGCCCTTGATGTACTTCTTAGTTTGACTAGGACAACTTCTTCCCTTGTAACAACAGCTTGTCAATAACTGTGACTGTCCTTCTTTGATACGAAATTGAAACGAACAGCTCTGAATTGTTAAAGGAAGATCACAGGTTAGCACTCCCAATTCTCGTCAATTTATTACTAGTTTTGCAACAATGAGCCTTTTTCTGAAGTGCAGCAGCTGGGATTGAAAACGACTCTGTCAGAATCTCCTCTTTTAACTGAAGTATTTTTTCCTAATTTTCATGGATGTGCAAAAAACAGGAATCATGACATAAATGACTAAAAATGTTAAAAAAAAAAAAAGTTATCATTGTTGGTTTCCCCCCACCCCCAAATAACTGGTTTTGAATTTGTCTTGTGGTATTTGGGGGTCTAACAGATTACGTTAAGATATGCCAAACCAAACGTAAACTGCTAAAGGTTGGACCAGATGATCCTCTGAAGTCCCTTCCAACCTGAGCTGTTCTAGAATTCTGTACGGCTCTACCACACTTGGCAAAGCAGAATGTTTCTATCAATTTAGGCAAATGCTTCTGAACCTACCATTCTTCCAGGAGAAGATTCTGCTGTTGCTCTGCGTGTACTACTGTCACCCACTGACGTCTGAACTCTGAATCTTGTTCCCAGAGCTCCACTGTTTGTCAGGTTGATGGTCCGTGAAATTGTCTCTCCCACCACATGGCTGCCAAAGTCAATGAGCTCTTTATCTAGTGCCAGCTGTGAGAAGATAAACCATTAATTACTACTGTCCTAGATAGTCAGTAATGTCAATTGAATGAGCAGCCACCTTTTCAAGAATAGGACTTTAAAGTTCTTATTATCATTTCAAAGATGGTATCAAATAACAACATGAACTGTGGGTATCCTGCCTTTTTGTAGAAGCCAACTCTTGTTCAACTGAGCCACTTCCTTTTCGGTCCACTCTATGACAATGGAAAAAAAGGGGTGAAATTCTGTTCATAGTAGCAGCTTGCGTTAAGTCTTCAGGAATTTACTCTGGAAGTGGGTAACATCTCCATACCAATTCAACGTTAGTGCTCTCGTGTTACAGTAAAGTGGTTTTATCAGCATTCAAGCTGAGACACAAGCAGCATTTAACATCATATTGTGACGTATTACATACGAGTTTATAACACATCCTGTCTTATTTCTTTGAATTTTGAATGATTTTGTAACTGGGTATATGATAACTTGCAAATCAAGTTCAAGCATCAAAAAGACAAAGACAACTTGGTTGCTTGCTAGTGTCCTGCTTACAGCTGAACTCTTCCCACTCTCAGAGCATAATGAACAGGAGTTCCTGTGCATAATTAGCACAGAATGATGGTATGAATTCTCTAGGTGAAGGAAATTACTCCTCTGATCAAAGAAGAACGTGCTGGCTTTCTACTGCACTGCACATTCTCATCTTTAGGGTCCTCTGACTGAAAACCATAGACAATCCTATCCCCAGTCAGATTTCAGCAGGCAATGATGTGGTACCATTCTAGCTTCCTACAAGTGCTTAAAATTAAGAACATCCTTAAAACCCCTTGCTAGATTGCTAATGTAATAATTATAGTGCACTACCTTTCAGTTTCTTCCCTCTTCTATTCTCTGTGTAACAGATTATTCTTGATTCATTTCCCTGTGCCCAAAAGTTTCAATGTGCAATCCAGTAAAAAAAACTCTACATGCAATCTTATTCATACAATTTACTCAAAACGTAATACTGCGAACTCCAGGAAGACATTCATAGGTCTAAAGTCTTTTTTAGAATGATCTTTTAATTTTTTCTAACTGTATTTCCAGTATACCCCAAATTTTGCAATGCCAGTCTTATTCTGATACGGGGTGTCTCCTTGCATGATCTTTTTCCTCTAGCATTATATGTTCTCATCTGTAATTTCTTTTGCCCTCTAAAGCCAAAGTTGCTCTTAGCTATGAAGGAAGTAATTTAGAAACCAAGTTTTTATCAAATACTTTCTTCAAATTAACTCATAGGAAGTGAAGATACCTAAAAAAGTTAGTGCTGCCTGTAGTTTCATCTTTTATTAGTAAGAAAACTGTGTTCTTTGGTTAAAAGCTGATATAGAATTCTCAAAAGATTTTGAGATGCCGAAAGAAAGAAGAGGTTACGTGCTGTCTATAAATGTCCGAAAGGATAGAAAGATATTGTGATATTTTGTCTACATAGAAAATTAAAGTTAAGAATGAACTACTGCAGGTCTGGGATGGGATTTCCAAAAATTACAAGAAGAAAAAGATAGTTCATTTCCAGCCACCATTTCTCTTCCCTCCATTCACAGTCTAACACTGTCATTGATTTCTAAGCAGAACTGCTTCAGTTAATTCCACTCTAAAGTTAAAGTTACAGCTCATGATTAAGCAAATCCATTAAGATAATGTGGTATAAATCTCAGTGTAATCCAGGAAGCTAAGGGATGAATAATTTTCTGGAAAGAGACTCTCCATTTAGAAGGAAAAAAAGAGAAAGCAATAAAGACTTCTTGCTAAATATTTTCAATGTTAATGCTAGCTCACATTTTCCACCACTGTTATACTGACCCTGAACATAAAAAAGTCACTTACAATGCATCTCTTGACTGTACATTTGAGTGGAACAGAGAAAGAACCTGTCTGTGCCATAAACATGACTTCTCCTTCCAGATTTTCATTTCTCTAGAAAACAATTCACAAAGATTTAGTCTATGTAGTGTGATGAAAAATATTTTCACTCATTCTTTGAATAACATTTTAAAATATATCTCTATAGATTCTACATTTCCACTTTAAAACAGCCTTCGGTAACTGCCTGGCTAACTTTAGCTATGCAATATTAAATATCTTTTTGTTTGGAGCAAATTTTGAGACATATTCCAGGAATGCTTAGTGACAGGAATCTTTCTGAAGTGCACCCTTAAAACATCTCACTACAATTTAACAGAGCTTGAACCTGCACACAGTAAGTACCACAGTACCTTTTCTAGAAATGCAGTTTGTTTCCTTGTTAACAGTTAGGAAATTACATTAACGATGTTTTTAATCAGACTGGTGTATTATACTAGGATTCTCATCGTTGTGTAACTTAGCACTCAGATGCACTTACCATTGGCTTAAATGTTACCAGGATTTCACAGGACATTCCAGCAGGCATTTTGCCAGGAGGGACAAACCTATGGAAAAAAATCAACATAAAACTCCAAATTAAGGCTATGTATGAAACATCCAGCTCCTAGTGTGGTAACAATGGCAGATTTTTTTTCTTTTCCCTACTTGGATTACTTAGAAAAGTCAGAATGAGTGACAGATGAATGAAAAGCTACAGAACCCTGTTGTAATTTTAAAACTACAAAGGGTGATTCTTTATTGAGGTTTTACTCAAAGTCTTAAAGTGCTTTTAAAAGGCAAGAATTATTGCCTTCATGCTACAGGCAAAGAGACTGGAGCCAAACAGGTGAAGCTGGGGCACAACAGCATCAAGAGCAGGGTGGCCCAGTCGCCTGTTCTCACGTCGCGGAAGCAGTCTTCTCCCTGTCTCCATTTTGAGTGTTGCTCAGAACGTAACATCTGCCCTGCCCAAGTGGGAAACCAAGAGGTAAAACAATGAAGGTGAATGCAGACGACTGGAGAATGTGCTGCTTGCTGCAAACTCTATCAAAATTATCTTGAAGAGAAACTGCCACTCATTTCTGCGCCTCGTTTCACGGTCTCCACGATGCAAACAAAATGCCCATCGGAAGACAAGAAATCTCACAGCTGCACTCTAAATGAGATGGAGATGAAGGCACTGCAGGAGACCTGGTCAGCCTGACAGGGCCAGAAGGAGAGCCAGGTAAAATGGACAGCTACATGGTGTCAGCCATGGGAATACCTAAGCAAACTGGGCCATACACAAACACAAAACACACAGGCCAATCACAATTTTATCAAAACAAAAGCAAGATAAAACGTTTTCAAACAGAAAAGGGAAGCGCTGTTTTGAATTCAGGACTTTGAAATGTGAACAGGGAAATAGGCACCTGTATATTGACCTTCAGAACAGGTCACTGGCAGCTTCTCCTGAGAAAGACCTGAAGGAATAGCTCCTTCTATTTCAAATGTCACCTTGATAAAATATTAATATTTTGCCCAACACACAGAACCACTCTGATCATCACTCCTTCATCAGCTTCTTCACATTTAAACTAATTTGCTACAAAATTTGGTTACATCTCCTGTTGTGGTACGAAGGTAAAGCAAGCAACGAAGTCTACAGTTAATTTTACTTACTGAACATTGATGAAGTCCTTGAGCCATTCACTGATTCCCACTAGTCTGCAGAAATTAACACTGTAGGATGCATTTATCAAAACTATCTTCTTTTTGTAGACTCGGCCAACATCAAAATCCTTGGAATACCAAACATATCAGGCGGTGTGAATTACAGGTAGTAGCATTTGCACAGGTAATGACTAAACCAACTATTTTTACCAAGTGGGGCTCACAGCCCCTACTGGGATCTCAGGCCTGTGTGCAGAGCATTGTATAAACCCATCAAGCATTGCCTTGCTCTGAACTTTTAAAACATACAGCTTATAACGCCAGAACTCGTGTTTCCTGGATGGGGCAACTTGATCTGAGTCTGTGAGCAGTTAATGCACCAAGCTGCTCTCTCGCTGCAGTGAATGTCAAAGACTCCATGTCACATTTGTGCTCTACGAGAGTTGTTATCAGTTTAGACAACACAGATTTTTTGGATGCTGAGCAAGGTGCCACTGGCTCCCAGCGGAGGTCTGCTGGTTCTGTGCAAGGCACAGGCTCCCAGCTCCCGATAAAACCAGAACACCACGCACGCTGGGCACCTTCAGTGCACAGCCCAGGCCGAGTGGCAGCGTGTTTCTGAGAGATGTCTGATGTGCCACACCAGCACCAAGTGCAGAGAAGAACCAGGCAGCGTTACACGTTCTCACAGGACACTTGTTCATTAGAATAGAGTTAAACTGCAGCTCAGTTTCCTTATGATCAGTACAATACGATGGGCCCTTGCAAACTGAAATCTTAACTGGACTGGAGGCGTGACTTCTTGGTGTTATTTTATAGTAATAATGTATATGCAAACAATATACGTCATAGTTATGCTGCCTTCTTAAAAAAAACCCCATGCAACACAGTCTAACAAGTGTTTCATCACTTGCTCACCTTTCTGACAGTAATTAAATTCCCCTAAGTAAATGAAATATTTTATAATTTACACCTAAGTAGTAAAACTAAGTAGTTAATTTAATCTGATTATAACCCACCTAAGAGATTGCTAAAGAAAAAGGGACGTACTGTTTCAGCCTTGACTAGAGATCTATTAAAGACAACAAGATTATTTTTTTTTCTTCCCAGTGCAACAGAACTTTGATCAAGGCATGGCTACAGGCATACATCACCTTTACAGATCCTGTGCAGAATGGCCACTAACCTTGAAATGAATGCAACTTGGTTTACTATAGAACGGACATCCTTTACGTTCATGACCAGACACTATTTGCTTGTGAAAAATTCCAGTTTGGTATTCCTCCATTTTTTTCTCAAAACTGTCTTTTTTCACTTTGGCATCCATTGCTTCTTTGGATACCTAAGAATCAGGAAAACACGCTGTGACTGTAAGTAAGCGTGATCATTTCAGTTATGGTCCAGTGCTTCTTTCATGGAAGTATAGCAATATCTATGGACATTATTCCTTTTTGATTGATTATAAAGTCTGCTCTTAAAGGTCTTCTACATCTCAGAAAAGCAGTATATGCAAGTATACCTTGGAATAACGTTTAAGAGCTTAACTACACAACTGCACTCTTATAGAGTACATTATCTACTCCTATTTAGAGCCCAGAATGCTATTATTTTGTGACCAGATACACTTTTCTTTGCCTAGCATGGTATGAAAAAAGTTGCTTACACATGAAGCAATCTGTGTTGCCAACTCCACAGAAAGTCATGTTTAGTTTTCTTAAAAGTCAAGTGAACATGATACATGTCTTCAAGTATCTCTGAACTAGAATTTTCTCTTAAAGAGAACAAACACCACAAAAATAACATGAAACAGAAATTACTCTGATGATACTCTCAAATCTGAATCTCTACAACTGATGTAATAAAGTCTGCACTTTAACTGCAAAATAGATAATTATTTTTAAGCAAGGTTTCTAAAACAGCACATGCCTGGGTCATTACTTCAGATACCGACAACTACGAGAGATGCAAAGGAAACTCTTCTAAGCCATTAAGATACTTTTATGGATAGTGTCAAAACATTATAAAGACTAACTTTACGAGTCAATTACAAAAGGATTTCTTTTTTTTTTTTTTTCTTCTATTTCTAGCAGGAGATATCACAAAACTTACCTTGTGCCTGTCACATTCCTGATTCCAAAGTCCTGGGAACTCTGGTTCTATTAGGGTCTCATCACCCTCTTTCTCCTCTTCACTGCTTTCACAGAGCACATCATGGGCTATTTGTTCAGAAATCTTTCCTACAGACGCCGTTCTCTCACCAGCTGAGGAACCAGCTGATGGAGAGCACTGCGACTTTTGTGAAAGAACGTAAGTTTTGAAGATAGAGTTACAAAGTACTAGAGGACAGTTGCTTCAACAGTTAACGGTTTCTGAGGAGATTTTATAATACAGAAATGACAGGTCTATAAAGCTCAGAGGCCAAAGATGACAACTTAGGGCGATCCCTGACACTAAATAAAGACAAAATCTTATGTTACAAGCATCTATATGACGTTGTGTGTACTGTAGGAGGCTAGAAACTAGTCAGCAGGCCTGAAAATATCGCCTGCAGTTTCCGAAGGTTTTGTGTATCACATGATAACCAAAGCCTTTGTTGTTTTGATGTAGTATGACTATTTCTACCAACACCTCTCCCCCACCTCTTTTAAATCCCTAAAGACTGCATGAAGCCACTGGTTTCATGAGGGAATTCAATTCATACCACCTCTATTTTCCAGGCCAGTACTCCCTGGAATACTGTGGAGGTAAAAAAAAAAAACAAACAAAAACAAACAAATAGCCAGGAAGGTTATGTCTAGAGAGAACTGCTGTCTCCTTTCCAATACACTGGAAACATTTCTCTTGTGCTGATCTGAATCTGAAACTTCCTCAGCAATGGAGGGAATTAAAAAGGAAGTGAGGGTACTTTGCACAGGTTATGGTGCCTGTTCTGATTCATGTGTTTGAGAATTCACCTCTTCTTACAAATGCCCTTAAAAAAACCTCCCACACCAAACAGGGCAACGTCTTTATTCATACAAACATCAGCAGTTTAGAAAAGTGAGACAGTCATTAAGAGATCTAACACAGAAATTACTCCCCTCTTGTTCTGTACTGTCTGGTACTTGGTTGTAGCCTGTGCTATACACAGGCAAAAGAATTCACTGCCCTGCACCTGTGACAGAAAATAAATCATAAGACAGTTAATTCTTAGGCCTTTGTTTACCTGTGCTATCACTCCAACTGAACGTTTGCAGGTCTTCTCAATATGCTGCCATGTCTTCATTCTCCACAGTAAAGAACCCCCAGGTTCACCACGACCCTTAATTGCCTTAGTACAGGACTGACTTTTTTTCTGCTTGTGAATAGCAGCTTTTTCTTGCAAAATTCGAGATACAATCTCAATTTTTCTTGATTTTTGCAGTTCTCTAGCAGCTCTGTAATCCAACATTTTAAGAAATATTAAACCAACCATGGCTGTTTGCTGATAATATTAACTATAGTCCAATTTGAGTCTCTAAGTTAAAAAGTGGTTGAATTGAGTGCAGTGGTATTTTGTGTCAAGACACCAGGCGATTCAGAGGCTATTGATACATTTTTATGGACTAAATATATTCAATTACAGTGTTTTAGAAGTTGAGGAGTTGATAAAGCATACTGAAAACAAAATAATTTTCCTAACCTAGTTAGCTATTTAAAGAAAACTGTTTATCTGAAATCCAGTGGATTTAATAAAGGGAGGAAGAGCAGTTAAAGGTAAGAACATAAATGCTGAACTTGGAAGATATGAATTCCAAGCTACGTACAACTACAAATTCCGTGACCCACTGGGTAGTGTGACAAAAGTGACAGTAGATCATTTAATCTCAGTTTTAATACCAGCAGTTTAATACACAATTTTCTGCAACAGATATTACCCACACTAATGATGGCTTTTAATACAGACTTTCACCTCTTCAGCTAACCCATATAGGTAATTACTGATTCTAAGTAGGAGCAAAGAAAATATCACCTCTCCTTTAAATACAGGCTACTGCTTACTGAAGCACTTTAATGTCTGAATTTAGCCTCATGATGCCCCATTAAGCAGATAAATGGCACTGTGTTTATAACGTATTTTTGGAAAATCATGGTACAAAGAAATTAATCATGGTTACAAAGACATAGGAATGACTCCCAGCACTATCTGCCTGAGGTATAAAGCTGTCCTCTGTTCTTGTGATCAGTTCTGGTCTTGATGAATCTTTTTATAGGTGATATACAAATTAATGACACAATGGTTTTACTGACTAGAGTTATTTTCTTTTGAGGATAATTCAGAAATATACACTCAGAGAAAATTGAGAATATCCCTTCCCAGAAAAGGAGAAAGGCAGAGCCCTGGGAGAAATAACGAAGCAATTCTTCAGCAGATTGGCAGGATCGTAGCTGAAATTAGAAAAGAACCGCTGTGAGAAACATGACACAGCTAACATTAAGTCTAACAAACTGTGATCTCCCGTGGCCTGCAGAGGGAAACAGTGAAAGGAACAAAGCAAGCAAGGTGAAAAGGACTAAACTTAAATAGAGTTGGGTATTTCCAGCAGATCTCTACAAACTGATACGATTTATTTTATGAACGTGATTTTTAGAACATATTTAGGGATAGCAGAAGTGGTGTTATGCAGCCATCAAGAATGAAGCTTTATTTAATCAAAATTTAAGACTTATTGAACCTTTACTTATTAAATCTCTAATCTTTGCTACAGGTTACTGCCCTTGTAGCAGAGCCAGCATGCAGAAACACATTCCTCAGCTACCCTCTGTTTGGTATCTTAGTTCAAATTCATCTTCACAAGTGATTAAATGGTTTTCATTATTGGTATAATGAAGTTTTGCACCGGAGCAGATGAGATACAGGCACATTCCTATCAACTTTGCTACAAAGGCAGAGGAGTAATTTCAATTTTAAAAAAGCATCAAGGAGTGTACCTTGCTTCTGACCTTACTGCAGAGCAATCTTCCAGACACTGTCTCTAAAAGCCTAAGAAAGTGGTTCCGTTTTTATAGGGACAGTGTTCAGGAAACGCAGAAGTACAGTAACTTCAGTCATCCAGTTTGAGTTCACTCAGTTTTCCTCCTGGAGTAGTTTACCTTCTTTGCACTAGTAGAATGTGAACTCCTAACTTTGTTTTTTTTGAGTAATACACTAAAGCTAGAAGTTCAAGTTGCTTAAACCAGACGATACAAATACCACACATAGAGAGTATGAGTTCCCTCCCTTGAGACAGCACCCTAGATGTTATGTTTCACAATCTGATGAAGAACTCCAATATATTCCTGCAGGAGCACCAATAAGCAGCTGAGAGTTTGAATACTTACTGTTTCTCTTTTTCATGCTCTAGCAGTCGCTTATGGAGAAAAATTTCCTTGGCAACATTGCCTCCTTCTGCTAGGATAGCTTCCCTCATTTTCATCTCCTGCTTCTTTGCCTCAAAGGCCATTGCTTTGTTCCTAACCTGGACAGCTTGGAGTTTTTCCTATGAAGCCATACAAACCAGTTACATATCTGATCCACATATTAAAGAATATAAAACAGAGGACCCAGCGTTGATCCTATATATAAATCGTGGTAGATTTCTCTGAAGTAGAGCTGATTGGGTTTAATCTATGCAGTAGATGTGGTGTGCTGAGGCACAGAAAGCTCTGACAAGGTCAGGGCTACTTCCTTACCCTTCCAGCCTGCCCATGAAATGCTCCTCAAGGAAGCAACGTGAAAAGATACAGTTCTAATCAAATCAGTATTAAATTAAGATCGTTTCCTCAGATTCTACAGAACAGAAGAAGAACAAAGTAGCATAGCTCAGAAATTCTTCATTTACATTATTTGACTTCTTAAATAACTGCTTTTTCTGCCATATGTTTTCTCCATATGAAGCATTTCTGCATTAGGATCCAGATAACTGGAAATGCTTCTGGCTGAGTTTTCAGAGAACTTATTTGTAGTATGCGTTATTTTCAAGAGCGTTACTCTACCAGAACAACTAGACTGCTGACAGAATAAACTCCCCAAGTACAAGTGTCAAAATCTGCCCATACAAATCTAACACCCATTACTGCCATAGTTAAATTCTCCCCAGTTTCAAGAGATCTGGTCAGTGATCTGAGAGCACCACACAACGATTCTGCAATGAAAACCCAAACTACTTGCATTAAAAGCTAACAGTCTAACGAATTAATTTCTTCATTTCGCGTCTAAGCCACGGCAGCAGTACCCGATTGGAAGTTATGCTGGTTTTCAGGGAAAGCACAGCTTGTATCCTTCTCTCCATATGCTCCTGAGTTTTCACTTCTTCCTTTGCATTTTTTTCATGAATTCTGTAAGCAAAGTAAAATCTTTCAGGCTCATATCCTGGAAAGCTTTTAGTATTAGAATGTTTAACCTGACAAGTAGTAATTGTCAATGTCACCAAACATTCTTCCTGTAAGCCTCTGTGTTTACTATGATACTGGGTGTGGGGAAAGAGGAACAGTTGGAAGACTCTTCTATATATGGTACCGCTCAAGTTACAAGTGCCAACAGGCTTTCAACTAGTTTGCTCAACAACTTTTTTTTTTTTTTTCCATATGATTTTGAATATGAAGAATGTGTTCCACATTATGACATATGTCTAGTTGCTAAAATAAAGAATGAATTCAGGTGTTGCTCACATAACCAATATCTAAACAATTACGCAGTGAACTTTATACAAGCCAATCATTTGTACCCGCGCTAAAAATAAACACTAGAAACTCTAAAAGCTAGAAATATGTGGGCATGATTCAAGCCTGAGAGTATTCCAGCTAATATAATGATAAACTAGAAAAAAATTAGTAAGATTGATATATTTGATATATTACTCAGGGGAAAAAAAAAATATCTATTTGGTTGATTGTTCTTCTTAATTATTATATGTTTTCACATGCCATCTAATGAAAAATAAATCAACACAGAAACAGTATAATTATTTCAATCGTTTTTTCAATTAAGTTCTAATATACAAGTAAAAGTAAGCAACAAATGTTCAGTTTCTTTAGTGGCAAAATAATTCACCACCACATTAATTCTATAAACATAAACCAACTAAGAGAACATTTAATTTACCATCCACCAGAAAAGGAGCACAAAGAAACGGCCTATTGACCAATCTTACCAGAGAGCAAGAAAGCTTTTTTACCACGTTTCAGAGGGACTAGAGAATGGCAGAGTGCAATTTCAAACCTGGAATTTAGTTATCCTACTTCAAACTACTACAGTGAACGACAGACACATGTATTAAAAATGTTTCAAATCATTAGTTATGGTAAAAGTAGTCAGAGCCTTCTGCATCTCATCCAAAAGACAGTGCCTTCAGCTCCAGGGAATCGGAAGACCCTACTAGGACAGTAAGTGGATTTTCTTCTTTCCCAGCCCCTTTGGGCCATGTAAGGTTTGAATACATCACAACACGGGTACTGGGGCAGGAGATTTCCAAGTGTAACAGACGATACACCTAGCAGAAAAATTATTATTTTTCAAAGACAAAGGATCAAGTATTGTACCCCAGAGAATGTACAGACAGGAAAGGAGGGAACAGTAACCTTGCCATGCTTTTTCTCAGGAAGCAGACTGCTTTCTTGTGGTTCCTTTGGGCATCTTCAAGTATTTTTTTTTGTCTTTCTTCATATTCTTTCAGGGCTTCCTCCTCTTTTCTACAAAACACAGGCAAATCAGCACTTGCAGCAG